TGAGCACAAACCGGCAGTGGAGGACCTCTTTCCAGATGGAATTGCAAATACCAGGTTTCTGCCAATATGATTCACTGCCTTGGGAGGGATTGATGGCAGCGAAAATTCGCGGTATTTCGACAATCAAATAACCTCAGAAAGAATACGTTGCCCCTTTATCTTCACAGGTCCAGCGTCATCCGACTTGCCCGAGGAAGCACTGCGTACAGATGTCATACGAGATGATGTTACAGATTCTTATGTTGAGTCCTCATTGGACAAAGGTAATCCTATTCTTTCTGTCTCCGCGTTCACAACTTTCGTCAGTTAATTTTACACCTGCTCTTCAGCGGCGATGTTTTTGGTGGCCTTGCAAAACTAAATTGCAGATCTCTATCAAACGGTTTGAAGCAAGGTTTGCATAGTTATTTATCTGAAAACAATTAATTTATTTTAGGGACTCGATTCTGTGTTGGTGTCAGTTTATATAAGCGGGGTACACGCATGAACGCTCAAATTGCTTCATTCCAATTTTCGTTCAAATGTGATTATACAGACACACCTGATATAAAGAAGCCCCAGCCAACTGTGATACGGGACCGGTGGTAATAGGGGATTTGTGCAGACGGGGCCGGGGAACACACAGGCGACGAGGTCCAGTAATTGTGTGCGAAAGTAAAGCTATTGTGATTGCGCGGTTATAAACTGTGTGGTTATGAAGTCGTTGTCCTAACCACCAAGCCTATGTCCTAACCCTAACCCCTGAAACTATCCCCGTACCTAAATGCTTACTTACAACTCCTAACTCCTAACCATCCATCTAGTCCCTTTACAATAGCCCCTAATTTTAACCCACATCCCTAACCTCCTCACCCTAAACTCGTTTGAGAATTGTTCGGAGACAGCTACGAGTTAAACGGAAGAAGAAGACAGGATCGCCGTGACAATTGCTTTATTAGCTTGACGTTTCGGATTCCTGCTCGAATCCATCATCAGACACAAAAGCAGATAAGGGTGTCTCATACATATGGGGCTGCAGCATTTATAGGATGTAGTAGCCAGGCTACCGCATACCTATAAATATTCACTTCCCCCATTTCATCAATGGTCGTTGCTTGTTGCGTGATGGCCGGAATTTGCGTCGTTAATTGCTGCGATTTCATCACGTGCGCTGCATGTTGGTGTGAGGATTGCTCGAGCATCTGACGCGCTGACCCGGGTGTTTGGAAGAGTGCTCACATGTGCGCTCCCCGCGTGGACAATTACTCCGCCTAGACGAAGTCTCAGCACGGAGTATTGCATGGGAAGATCATTGAACTTGTTAATAGACTGGGGACCAGTAAACCATGACTCAGGCAGCTCCCGGCTCACGAGGTTGTCACCCCTTGCGAGCATTTCAGCCTTGTCAAATTTGAATGCGTGGCCGGAACCCGTCGATGAGCCGCAACTTGAGAGCTAGCGTCATTTCTCCTTACCGCTGCAGCGTGTTCGACAATTCGTGTTTTGGATTTGTCTCCCTGTTTTTCTGACGTAGTTGCATTGTCCACAACTGCACCAGATCCGATAAACGACTCTAGACGTTTCCTGCCGTGAGAATAGGTCTTAGGGTTTTATTAAAGGAC